TCTCCCCTCTGGTCACTCAGCCTGTTCTCTGTTTCAGTGTCTTTGGTTATATTTTGCTTGTTTGTTTGTTTTGTTGTTTTAATTCAAAGACATCGCAGGCAAGTCAGAAGCACGAGGCTTGTGCTCAGACCACGCCTGTCTTTCAGGGCTACCCATGGGCCCGTGGCACCACTGAAAACCCATTATTCATGGTTACTGGGAGTTTGTGGACAAAAGCCATCTGGAATAAATCTACAGGGAAAAAACTGATTCCAGATCTTTTGCCATCACTAGAAATTTCTCTGACATACCTTTTCAGGTGGCCTCTGGAGTTTTCCACCCACTTGTTCACCCTCCTGAAGCTCATGGAGTGAGAGGAAAATGGCATCTTTGTGTTTGGACACACTAAGCCTGGAGCTTCAGGTTGTGTAACATTTTTGGTCTACTGATTTATATTGGTTAAAGAAAAACAGTTAGCTCTGAAGCAGGGGGTGCAAATAAAGAACCAAAGCAACATGAGACACCCACGCTGAAGAAAAGGATGCTGCAGTATGAGGGCCATGGGAAATTTGGAAATCCCTGTCGCATACTTTTGGATTGCCTGCACCAAATAAATCACTGGCATGAGGCCAAACGAGATAATTAAAAGCCACAGTGCTGACCCAATACTTTATTTATTTATTTATTTATTAAGATTGTATTTATTTATTTTTTTTTAGAGAGAGGGGAAAAGAGGGAGAAAGAGATGGAGAGAAACATCAGTGTGTGGTTGCCTCTCCCACACACCTCACTGGGGACCTGGCCCACAACCCAGGCATGTGCCCTGACTGGGAATTGAACTGGTGACCCTTTGTTTCTCAGCCTGCGCCAATCCACTGAGCTATATCAGCCAGGGCCCAATACTTTAAAAATGTTCACTTAGGCAAAAAAGTACAAAGTTTCACTTTGTCAAAGAAGTAAAGTTGTCTATAAGGCAGGTATATAGACATTATATGGCATACATCTTGGTAGCAAAGAAAATTCTAAAGACATTCACATGTTTGTATTTGTTTACCCAAGAAGTGTAAATTAAAGCACTACTGAAATACCAGTGCACATCTAGGAGAGAAGCAGGATATGCACAGGGGTGGGCAAGACCAGGCCCATGGTTGCTTGTATGGAAAAAATAATACAATAATTAATAAATAATAAAACAATAATACACTCTGTCTCATGTACTCACAACTGTAAAGCCTCTTTTGCCCACCCTTGCAGATGGGGTTTAACACCCTCCGCAGACAAGGGAAGGGTGAATGGGCCCCCTGCTGCCCGACCTTCTGGTTGTGTCGTGCATGAGGAAAGCCCTTCTGGGAACCTGAGGAATGATGTACAAACCAAAGAGGTTTACAATCCAGTAGTTCCTCCTGGAGGATATTTTTGCTTTCTGTTAGTTTAATGGAAAATGAAATTGAAATTTGAACAGCTACATAAATAAAGATGCCTTTTATGTACAAAGAATAAAGAAGAGAAACCACTAAACTAATAGTTGAGTAAACTGTGTGGAATAACAACTAGTTGTAATGTTAAGTAACAAATGAAAGTGATAATGACAAAGTAAATGTGTACATTTTGGAAATACATGTCTAGTTGCTATGAGCAAAAAGCAGATTACTAAATTATGTACAACAATAAAACTATGTTCCAATGTGTGTTGTTTGATACAAGTTGCAAGAGATGATATAAAATGAAAGTTTTAAAAAAGGCATGTCAGGATAGGAAATTTTGGGAATTTTTCATTATTAAACTACTTCTTAACAGCATGTTTATATTGTTTAAAAGGCAAAATCTGATGTGAAAAAGCGATAGTCCTGTTCTTCTACTACTGAAAAGCGATTTAAGGTGAGTGAATGATGGAAGTGAGTGTGGGCAGGAAAGTCCGTCAGGTGAATGTAACTCACACAAAGGACTATCCTAGGAAAGAGAATGTAATAAAAGCAAAGCTGGGCTAAATGCTGGGAGAAGATGTTAATATTCATCCTGAATAGAAATTCCAACTAATCTCATGTTCACGGTCGTATGCAGTCCCGCCATGTAATTCAGTCTGCATTAAAACGCCTAGACATTACTGCTAATCAAGTCTGTCTTTTCATACTGAGAAGCCACATTCTCCTCTCTAATATCAAACATATGCAGTATAATACAACACTTTAACAATATTTCAGATTCTTTTTTTTTCAAATAAAATCAGAACAGGTAGGAAACTAACCATCTAACACGGGTATCATATAGTCAACAACTTCTCATCTTGATTTTACAAGTAAATTGTAGAACCAGTCTGTGTAACATGTATCCTGACTCACACTGCGAACTTCTGCCCTTGGCTGGAGGGAGCCCTGTCCAGTGTGAGTGCAGGTGCGGGTCCAGCTGGGCTCCTCTCTGAATGATAATTACCAAGGAGTCACTTTATTTTTTATTAAATTTATTGGGGTCATATTGGTTAGGAATTATTTTAGAACCAATCTTATGTTTTAGAACCAGTCTTACGTGGAATTTCTGTTTCCAAAAAATTATAAATTGGCATTTTTATCATCATGAAAAATCTAAGCATAGCCTTCACCAAAAGATCAAAGATAACACTAAACTCCCATTTTATCCTGCAAAATGGGAAAACCAAACCTGACCATTTTCAAATAGTTTTAACCTTCAGGTCAGCATCTGTCATGGGGAATTTGTGTACACACCTCAGTAAATGTCTCCAAAATGAAGTAACTGAAACTGTATTTATTTTGAATTGTAGAAATGGAAAACATCAAACTACTTTGAAATTCCAATGTTAGTTGTGATTTTAACACACTTATCAATTAATACAGCAACTGCAAAATAGCTGTGGGGCACCATCTTCTCCTACACAGCATCAGTCAAGTTCTCACCTTGGCTCACGGAATATCTGAGTATCATTTGAACAACCTGGCCAGGGTTCCAGGGCTGAATGGCAGATTTGTTTGCATTGACTTGCAGTGAATTAATCAGGGGGCTGTCACAATGTATCCAGGCCCTCAAATGACTATGTTCTTGCACCAAAACACAAATGATCAAGGTGATGGCCCTTGGTTGAGGCCACCATGGCCGCTGTGCCATTCCTTGAGCACATGAGGCCCACCTCTCTGTAGCTCCACATCTGCAGGACTGCTCCCGTGGTTGACTGAATGTTCTTCCCCTGAGATTTCTGCTCGATTCACTCCAGTTTATGCAGGTGTCTAATGAAAGCCCCCCGCCGGAAGGTGCTACTTCTTCCTTCCCATCCTGTCACCTTCTACCCCTCTGACTTCTAATCTTCTCTGTCTTTATTTCACCTGTCACATTACATATTTATCTGTTTACTTTATTATCTGTTTCCCCAACACAATGAATGTTATATGAGAATAGAGACTTTATTTTTTCAATGCTGAATCACCAGCCCCTAGGACAGTACTGTCACATAATTGGTGCTCAATGAATATTTACTGAGTGAATGAATAACAAGTGAATATATAAATGAATTAATGGGGCCAGAATGAATGAACATGATCATAAAAGGGGACATCACTTTTCTGCTAATACAAAATAAGTCTATATATTTAGTTACAGAAAATGTTTTCAATTAAGTTGTTAATAAGCTTGCAGCAGAACACAAAGTACATGGTAATTAAAATAAAGAGGGAAATTCTGTATATTTTGTCAGCCCCCCAAAATTGTAATGCTCCTTTCAGAAAAATAGTCTTGCCATATTTCATAAGCCAAAACATGATGTTTAGGACTTAAAAGCTAAAATTCAGGCATACCAGTTGAATGGCATTTCATACATGAGTACCTGCTGCCTTGAATCATCTTTTCTCCATTTTTGCCCCTCCAACCTGATGCAGCCAAACCCAGTTCACCTGCCAGCTTCTCCATGGAAACTTCCCAGTTCTAACCATCACACAGATCTATTTTCCCTCTGCATCATATTTTTTTCTTGGTAGCTTCCTAGATCATTTACATTTTATTGTAGTCTTGATTTGTTCTTTTTATCATAGCTTTTGCTATCTTGTTGTTATATTATTATTAATAATTTTGTTATTGCTTTCTGTTGTATGTTCGTGCTTTGTCTCTAACATGAGCATCACCACTTTGTTACCCAGCCAACAGCACCCACTGCAGTCCACTGAATGAGTTAAGTACTAAGTACATTGTGATAAATACTAACCACCATCCACAAATCTAACTGGCCTAGAACTAAGAAGAGACAATGACTGATGACAGAAGGCTCTCTGACTTCTCAGATTATAATGAGGACTAAATTCTTCCCTATTTTTCCATTTATATGGTTTCAGTTCCTTTTGAAAATGGAGAGTTGACAGAAGAGGAGCAAGTAATTATTTTTAAAAAAGGCTTGATCTGTGATACTGCACTCATCATTTGGATCTGATGTAGCTACATGAAGTCAGACACCTACCTTGGCTGTCCCAAACAGAGCACAGTTGCAGAAGACAAACCACTTGGATAGGACCCATCTGGGTGCCCCCTTACATTTTCAGGAACAACATACTATATGGGTTATTGGACTATAATTCTGCCAGGCATGAGAAGGCAGTCATAACCCCAAGACAGCATCCAGCTCACAACATCTGGGTAATAGGGATCCAAATCACTGAAGAGTGATAGGATCACCAAATACAATGAAAAGCATTTTGTTTAATTAGTTGGATCAGTTCCTACCAAGCAAGTTGCTACAGTGAATAAGGTCAATGCAAAATTTTGTATCTAATATATAAATCTTATAATGTAAATATAAGGGTTATAACACTCTGGGCCACAATGGTATAAATGCAGGATTGCATTCATTTGTATGAATAAATAGTCATGGAAAATATAGGAACTAAAGCTAGGAATTACTATGTAAGAATTATCTAATTCCAAAATTTTCTTCCAAACACATGAGTTCTTTGAGTGTTTCCACTTAAAATGTCATGTTGCCAAAATGTAAACCCAACCACCAAATGAACTTGGGCACACTCACATACCGGTGCACGCCGCTGTTGCACATGATGACGTGGCACGCCCCCAGCCTGCTGCACAGCTCCGATGACACCGACAGCAGCCCCACGCCCGAGGCGCTGCACGCCGTGTTTGCACAGGTGGCTGTGCGCTTGGATCTGATAAATGAAGCTACCAGGCGATAAAGTTCATCCAAGGCATTGAGAGGCCTCATGAGCTGTAGAACAAAGAGACAAACATGAAGTTCACATGTTATGGGGAACAAAATCCTTTCAGATGGAATATAATTTACTGTTGTTATAACTTTCAATGAATGGTCTAAAATACTTTATTATGGAGGTAACAGAATTGGAGACAACCAATATTTATAATTACATACACATTTCTCAAGAATAAGAGCAGAAAAACTAAATAAGGGAGGAATGTGCATTACAAGGAATAAATAAATGCTATCATTTATTTTTACCTTATCAATGTAGGCAGCCTTGGATGTGGAATTGGGTGGTGAATTTGACTTGTCCAAGTAGAATGCTCTGTGAGAGTCCAAAGAATAAATGATCATTTATTGTGAAAAAAGTTAAAATGCATGAAAACATATACAAGTTTCACTGACTTCCTTTTAAAGACAATGAAGTGTTGTCTTAATGTTCAACCAAGTGTTGAACACTAGGGTGGGTGGGATTGCAAAAAAAAGTGAATAATTTTCAGTTTCAAAACAAATGTTTAAAGCTACCAGCAGCTCCATTAGATATTATGTGTCCTCAGAGAGATTACCCAATTTGTCTATGCCTCAGTTTCCTCTTCTGTAATTTGGGAATAATATTAGCATTTACTTTACAAGGCTGCCAAGAAGATTATGCATTAATGCAAATAAAATGCTTAGAATAGTACATAGCACAGAGTAAGTGCTCATTAATATTTGCAATATTTAATATTATTATAAAAGTTGAAGAAATGTATTTTCTTGTGACTACTGGAGGATATTATCCAGTTTTCATTATTGTGCAAGTGTGTGATTATAAAATAATACTCAAAAAACTAATTTTAAAAAGACTACTGATGGATTATTTCAGATTGGAAGTTAAACCTCTTCGAGGATACAATGGCTCTCTTTTGTCACCAGGGTGGAACTGGTAACTACTGTTTTAATACACTGCATGGAATCCCACCTAGCAGTAATGTTGTTTGGGTTTTGTCTAAGATCAAGTAGTGTGGACTAATCAAGTATTACACTTTACATTAGGAAAGCTTTAACAGTAACTTCTAAGTGAAAATTAGCTTATTCATCTCTCAAAGACAAACAATAACAAATGTTAAAACAGTTTAGCATCCAAGATTCTTTGTTACTCATTATAATTCATTTTGAACTTGTAGATTGCCATTACCATCTTGGCACAGAGGTGGTCCTTCAAAGCTGGAACCCACTGAGATATCTCAGTAAGATGCCTCTGTGCCCTTCCTCAAGTGTGCTTGGTACACAAGTCCATGGACAAATTATTCCCTCAGCCTGAACCCCACGGCTACTTTTGGTCCCGAACACACAACACTTCGAGGAGTGTGGGGACCAGAGGGACCCAGGACAGTGTTCAGCTCAGGATGACTGGGTACGGGAATGTGAACCACTGAAAAGGGAACATCCACCAAGTGCCATCAAAATAGTTTTGTTTACCTGGTTGAGTCAAAATCTACTAAGAACACAGGATGGAGAGCAAAATCAAAGGAACGTGAACTACTTTAAAATGTTCCGGACTTTCCCCAGCACCAGGAAGAGACAACAATGACCTAAGAAGATTGCTGTTGCAGGAAGAGGAAATGAGCATGCATTGTGTGATGTACAAAGGACAATGTGGCTGGAGCTCGGCTGGAATGAATGAATGAGCAGCTTAGAAAGAGGCTTGAACAGGCATGCTCTGTAGGGCCTTGTAAACCCTGATAAAGATAAATATTTAGGCATGGATTTACTTTTATTTATCCAGAGAGTTTCAAAAACAGAAGACAGGCTGTTTTATATACACTTTATTGCTGTGCATAAAAATCCATGTTCTCCTGAAAGAACTGAGTGCCTTTTTATTTCAGTTATATAGGTAGGTACACATTTAGGTGAATACTGTGAAAACCTATGCATGCACCCCATCTTTAACAATCTTAGCATTTTGCACTTTGTTTCTCCTTTTAAAGAAGTGAAACAGTACAGATATAGATGAGCCCTTTGCTGCTGACCCTTCTCCACTCCCATTCTGGCTCCAAAGGCTCCCTCCCCGAGGAAATACCACCTGGAAGCTGACACGTTACTTCCACACTTTACAAGGTCACCCACATGCTTGGCACAAATGGAGGTACCGAAGAATAGCTGTTTTCTCTTTACTTCTTCTTCTTTAAACCCACACATTCTTTCTAGGCCTGCTTCCTCAAGAAGCTCATTATTTAGTTAACATTTTTTGGTCAGTGTCCATCAGTATACTCCAGCACAGAATTTTAGAATTAAATTGACAGAAAATTTTTTCGCCTCAATACTGCTTTGGGATCTGCTCGCAGTCCACTTGTATTTGAGTCTTGTCTGTATTTTTTCTCTAATAGGTTAAGATTTTCTTTTTATCCTCAATGTTCTAAAGTTTAATCACAAAATGTTTAGGCATTGATTTTCTTATATTTATCCAGAGAGTTTCAACGAATGCTCTCAACATGAGGGGGCTTGTCTTCCCTTCTAGAAAAATCTCTGCCATTATCTTTTTACAGAATCTCACGTGCATTCTCTCTCTTTCTCTCCACACAGATACACAGACACACAGACATTCACAAACACAGGTGCACTTTCTTTTAAGACTTTATTTTTCCATTATCACATTTTAGATTGTTTGCTAAGTGATGCCTTTCCAATAAAAAAACTCAAGTATGGAGCTTATCCTTTCTAAAGAGAATTTTATTTCAATAATTAGCTTTTTGTTTCCAAGATTTCGGCCTATTCTCATTTTATTGCTACCACTAAAAGGTAAACTCCCTGATGAGAATGTAAACTTTCTATGTTGTTATGGATTTGATTTACTTTTGTTCACCGCAGCAGCTCTAGCACCTAAAATAGTATGAACTTAATAAATATCATAAACAAATGTTTGGACAAAAAGGTGAAGGGATTAAGTAAAAAAAAAAAGAAAGAAAACTCAACAACTCATAGACAGGCAACAGTATGGTGATTACCAGAGGGAAGGGGGAGGTGGGAGGAGGCAGGAGAGAGTAAAGGGGGTTAAATGGTGATGGAAGGAGACTTGACTTGGGGTGGTGGACACACAATACAGTGTACAGATGATGTGTTATAGAATTGTACACCTGAAACCTTTATAATCATATTAACCAATGTCACCCCTAAAAATTCAATATAAAATAGTCATAGAAAACAAAATAATAATCAGATAACTGACTCTATTTCAAGATTTTCCTTTTTTAATGGATTGCAATCTTTTGTTTATATTTTGAGCATCTAAAATATACTTTGCCAGACTATCCCAACATTTTAATTTCTTCTGAGTCAAATTTACTTCCAATTGTCAATTTTGTTGGCTCCTTCATAGTGTTAGGCTCCCTCATGTGGTTTGGAATTTTGTTTTGCAAGTTCATTTGCAGTGGGATAATTTTTAATTTTTGTTTTTAAATAAAGCTCCATCCCCAACCTCTCATCATGCTTATCTCACAAGTGATTGTGCGCTCACCTTGTGCCCAGAGACACCCCTCTACAACCACTCACATTGTGCTGACACCTGGGTTACGACTAGCCGCACCCCTGAGCCAGTGAATGACTTGGTTCGGTTCCCAGTTTAATTGCCACATCAGCTTCCTCCACCACCTCAGTCCCTCTTCCGTCTTAAGTCCACAAGAGCTACAGTCTCTCAGGAAGTAGCAGAGAGCAGATTGTTCATCTTTTGCTCAGAAATGGAAGAGTTCTTCTCTACGCCCTAGTTTCCAACTGTGGGGCTGGCTCTGGATCTCCACCTAGTGTGAAATGACTTTAATTTCTCATTTCTGTGAGGAAGTAGTATGGATCCCTCTTTCCACCACCAGAAGGCAACAGGCCGGGGGCTTCAGCACAGCTTACAACACATTGCTTGCATTTCCCTCCCATTCACAGGTCACTAAGATGATAAACTGTGGCCTCAGCTGTGACTCTTACATGTTCTGCCTTCATATTTCATCTAGCACTGATATACCTTTGGAACAGAGGTGGTGCTTCAAAGCCAGAACCCACAGAGCCACCCTGCTCAGATGTCCCCATGCCTTCCTCAGGTATGCTTGATAGAAAAAGAGTCAACAAGTTAGTTAGCCTCCCAGGGTCTCAAGCACCACATCTTTGCAATGGATATTAAAACTGTCCTACGTATTGATAGTACTGTAGTAAGCAAATGGGCTTCATTCCATAGACAACTATTATTCAAGTGCACACAGTAGGAGCCCTGTAAGCCAAAATGCCCTGCTTCCAAGGCCATCTAAAATATTTTATGATCCATGTAAACATGAAAATTAAGGTAGATATTTGGCATCTACATAATTCCAGGACCACTACACAAACAGGTTCAGGTCTAAAAGGAAAGCAACCTTTTTTGGGTCAAAGAACAGTATGATTTAAATGGCTTACTCAGGAGCATTGGCTGTGGAAACAGCAGTTCTTTTTTACCCTGAATAGTTCGGGAAGAAAAATATTCTGTAAAAGTCCAGGGATCATTAGTACAACAGTACGGTGATTATCAGAGGGAAAGCGGAGGTGGGGAGAAGGGAAGGAAAACTTCACTGCCGGAACCTGCCACTACAGCTGGGCATGTGGGACACTCTTCGTGCTTTCTGAAAAACGTTCCTTAAAAAATAAAGTTAGGAGCAGAATCATGTTAGTATAATTCTACTACATTTACTTAAAATGACTTGGCATATATCTTCAACTTTTCAATGGGGCAAAATATTTAAAAACACAGTTGATGAAGAGAGCCAGTAGAAAAAATAACTTTTATAGATTTAAAATAAATAAGTGAAACCTTTTTCAGAAACAACTTCACCTTTCCTATATGGCAGAGCTAAAGTAGAAAAATCATTGTATAATATAACTGCACCCTTGAAAATACTCCTAGAAGGGAAGGGCTAACTACAAATTCAGAGTTAAATATATTACTGGTCCAGACTTGGGCAAGCAGCTAATATTTGTTAGTCCATGATCACAGAAAGAAACAAATTATTATAAAATATATCGATGAGCTGATGATGTCTAGAGAAAATAACCATGAAATATAGATGCCTTGTTACTGTCAGGAAATTTATATAGCCAACAAATATTTTAATCAATTACTTCTTAAAATAAAAATTTGGAACTGAGACCACAACTAATTTTAGGTATGCCCTAGCAGGAGAAAAGTTTGTTCAGCCCGATATTTCACTATCCCCAAGGTCTGCAGGTATTGACATAACTTCTGTCTTTTTCAGAATATGACAAACTGTGGATAGGAAATGAATTTCTAATGCACTTCTCTTAATTGCAAGTCCTACAGTGCCCCTTAAT